AAAGTGTTATTCTATCCAAATATAAGTTAAAAGATTATGAAAAAATGGCCACATATGGTATCCCTTAATTTTAACACCATTTTAGAACTGCAGTCATTTTTGAGTGAATGAAAATAGGATGAAATGCTGTTTTTGAATGTTTGAGTAGAAATGAGATGTATATGTAAAAGATTGTGTGGGAGACTGAGAAGGCAGACTGTTAGCTTGAGAGCTTTTGTTTTGAAGAGCCAACTGTTCCCCTGACTTTGGAAAGGAGGGTAGTTGTGGCTCCACTCTGCCTCCCCCACACCTATATTGTCTGTACAAGTTAGTGAGGGTGTGGATTCCAAGAAAGAGAAAGAAAAACTCAATGTTGTAGTTTAGGATAGCTTAAATTTAGGGAATTCTGAAGCCTGGCTGGCCACATGGTCATAGTACACATTGGTTTTACTACTGCTGATTTAACTGAATGAAAGAAGGAGATTGGATCTCACAGTAAGAATCAGGATAAGGTGTTTGACTTGTTTCCTATTATTGTGGCTTTTCATAATCCCAGCTAGGAGGATTGTCCCATCTTACTGAATATCTTTTTAACTTCTGAGGAAAAGCATATGATTTGCCCAAAAGGCAACAGAGATTATTCTCAGTTATGATCATAATATTTAACCTCAATCTGCATTGGAATAATGACTTGGCTATAGTATGACTTCAGATCCATAATGGCTCAGGATTTTTAAAGGTACATTCTATCATCTCCAAACCACACACATTGTTAGCAGCAAATTGATTCTGAAAATGCATTTTTTTCCAGTTTGGGATTTGGAAGAATTTTTTTATAACTCTATAGAAAAGGACAGTTGATTAATATTTGCTTTCAAATGGGAGGACCGAGATTTAGGGTAGAAAGTTCTGGTCCAGGGGTAAGGACAGCCCCACTCTGGTTGGAATAGTCTTGATTTCAGATTTAACTAAATGCTGTCCTCCTCACCATGGAATTGTGTTGCAGTATGTGAATGACCTGTTAGTTGATGGAAAAAACATGGATCTATTGTAGAGTTTTTCAGAATTAACTACCTGTGGTGTGTCCAAAAGGAAGACACAGGTTAGAGACAGAAGTGAAGTACAGATTTTACTTGTCACAGGGCCAGTGGAAGCTAGGGCCTGAGTGAAAGACTGTGTGCAGGATAGCTGTCCTGAAAAATAAAATGGGCAAAGTTCTGGACATGCCAATTTCCCAGCTGGTAAAGATCACCAATAGAATTTATTCTAACAAGGATAGAGAAAAGAGAGAGAAGAAGAAGAAAAGAAGAAGAAGGAATCGGAGTTAACTGGTCTCCCTTCTACCAGTGGCAATTTAAGGAGAAGGAACAAAGGGGTGTTGGGATTCCCTGACCGGGAATGATCTCAGACAGACTGCTGGTGGCATCTACCTGAGGGGGAAAAACACCCGAGGGGGTGAAATCTCCCTCCTCCTTTTATTGACAACCTGTTTACAAATCAACTGGATGTTTGTTCATCATTCATTAACTGTCAGAAGGTAGTCAGGCTCAAAGGTCAAGAGAAGCAAACAAGACACAAGAAACCAGCCAAGTTAACCATTAAAGGTAGGCCAGACAGGTCATCAACTAAGATGTGTATCCACTAGGCTGTGTGTACATGTAATTAACAGACAGGCTTAATTGCTAAACTGCTACGTGCGAAAAGGCACACTGTGTATGAGGGAGAAAGATGGGGTCTCTCCATGGCTTGCCAATGAAGAATTTTCCCCACATCTCCCCCTTTTTGTTTTTTAAATAAGCTGGTATTGTATCCTGTTAACTTTTCTTTTCCCTGGGAGTCAACCTTTTCTGAGAAAACAGGTTATGCAAACTGGAAATGCATTGAATAAGGCAATACAGAGAAACAAGCAGGCAAAGGATCAAAATGCAGTTTGAGTAGTCAATGAGGATACAGCTTGACAAACAGCAATATCAAGGAACTATAAATGCAGGAATATTATAGCAATGTCCATATCAAATGCAAATGGCAGTGTTCAAATAGCTTTAAGAGCTA